TAATTTTATTACAATTTAAATAAGAAGTTTTTACAAAAATATTAATTTGATACTTTTAAGATTTACAATAAAATAAAAAAAAAACTTAACTTATAAAAAATTATAATATTTTTTACTAATTATAATAATTAATGTAGTTTTGGTTTTGAAGTAAAAAAATCATTCCCACAGACTCCACCAAGCATGCCCTTGCTGTTATTCCCTATCCCGTTTTACCTTCATCTTCCTAATCCCTTAAATTACTAATTTAACCCTCAAGGGACTGCAACTTCCCTCCATAAGCCAGACAACTCCCAACCCCACAAAACCACCATACTCCTCTATAAAGCTCTCCACTTCCTACTGCGCTTCCCACCCAAAACCTCCCTTCCTCCTTCGCAATCCTCTGTTTCCGGCATCTGAAGTCAGATACAGAAAAAAAGCCAGAAACTTTTGAAATGGATAAACCTGTAATCGAACCGTGGAGACCCGACTCGGTTCTGTTCCGGCAGCCGGATACTCCACGTGAGCCGATGGAGTTCCTGTCTCGTTCCTGGAGCATCTCGGCCCTAGAAGTTTCCAAAGCTCTGGTCCCACCGCAACCGTCACAAATGCTGCTGAAGGGCTCGTCCAGTGGCTGTGTCATACAGGAAGATGTGGCTGGCGAGGACGTCGGTGGCGAGAGTGCCGCCGTTTCTGGGAACCCTTTCTCGTTCGCTTCCTCTGAGACTTCTCAGATGGTGATGGAGCGGATCATGTCACAGTCGGTAAGTGTAGACCGGTATATCGAGACAAAGTCCGAGGAAGGACCCGACTCTGTTTATCATTTTATCCTAGTTTGGTCGTTTCCTAAATGTGGTTTTGTCGGTATCAGACAACTGGGTGCTTTCTATATTTTGATTTATTGCTTGTTGCTGTATTTATCCATGAAAATTTCCTTTCTTTCTCCGTTTTTTCGTTTTATCTTCGAAATGATGTTCTTTTTTTTTTTTCCACTTAACAGCAGGACGTATCTCCACGAACATCAGGGAGGCTCTCACACAGTAGCGGCCCTCTCAACGGAGCTGGGTCTTTGACAGACAGTCCACCGGTCTCCCCCTCAGAGATGGACGACGTTAAGGTTAGTCCCATTTCTTCCCGGCGACAATTATATGCTTAATTACCAAGTTTGTTTTGTGGGTCTCTATGGTCTGTTCTCAACTCTGTTTCTGTTTTCCGCCGAGTAGAAAAACGTTCTCCAGGCTTTCTCTCTAACCAACGCCCCCCGGAGAACGATACTACCATCATGTGTCTCTGTTTCACTGTCTTCAATGAATTAAAATAAAAAATTGATTTCTCTCTGAATTCTGATTCTAATTTCCCTTTTTCCTCTTCACTACTTTCACTGCAATGATTTTGCTTTAAATTCCAGAATTACCCTTACCTGAATTGTACGCCGGACGGCATTGATCCCCCGGATGTCCAGAAGGTACTTTGAAGGCATCTATGAATGAACCCAAAAAAACTGTTTTCTGGTTTGTGTTTAGGGGATGATATACTTTTTGTTTTTATTTTTATGGGATTTTGATTAATGTGAATCTGAATCAGAAATTGAATAAACCCATTTTAGAAAATTTATTTACACAATTTTATGGATGCAGCATTTTTCCCGGGCCAATAACCCTCCAAATTCCCAGTACAACAAGGCGGCGACACTGGCTCCGACGACCGTTGCTGGCAGTGGGAAGACGGTTGGGAGGTGGTTGAAGGATAGGAGGGAGAAGAAGAAGGAAGAGACACGGGCCCATAATGCCCAGCTCCATGCTGCTGTTTCTGTGGCTGGTGTTGCCGCTGCTGTGGCCGCCATTGCGGCTGCTACTGCCTCTTCCTCAAGTTCTGGGAAGGACGAGCAGATGGCTAAGACAGACTTGGCGGTTGCTTCCGCTGCCGCTTTGGTCGCAGCACAGTGCGTGGAGGTTGCAGAGGTTATGGGTGCAGAGCGGGAGCCCCTGGCCTCCGTCATAAGCTCCGCCGTCAATGTCCGATCAGCTGGTGATATCATGACACTAACTGCTGCAGCAGCAACTGGTATCAAATTATGATCAACATTTCTAGTTTTTATTTGTGATACCCTTTTCTCTTAATTTTACAACATTAATTAATGTAATTGTTTTCTGTGGTAGCTTTGAGGGGAGCAGCCACACTTAAGGCAAGGGCGTTGAAGGATGTCTGGAACATAGCAGCTGTAATACCTGTCGAGAAAGGTGGTGGCAGCGGGAGCAATGGAAGCTCCAATGGTAGCTTTAGTGGTGAGCTTGTTCCGGAGGAGAATTTCTTGGGAATATGCAGCAGGGAATTGCTTGCCAGAGGCTGTGAGCTGCTCAAACGCACCCGGAAAGGTAAACTTGAATGGATTATTGCACTTAATTTGTAATGAATTGATGGGACATATTCAAAAGCATCAAAATTTGTTATGAATGCGATGGGATTAGCATAAAGTGTCATGCTTTGTGCTTAATTTTCAGTGAATTGATGGAGCATAGTGAATTAGTATATACATTTTGTTTCATGACATCAATTGCAATGTGTGATACAGTTTGAAGGATCGAATAGGGCAGTTTTGATTAAGACATTGTGTTGTGATCCATGCAGGAGATCTTCATTGGAAGATAGTCTCTGTTTATATCAACAAAATGAACCAGGTATGTCTCTGCATACTCTTCAATGTAAAGTTTCATTAATAGGTTATGAAAAGATTAAATTACACAATTATTTGGGCGTCTAATGTGTGCTTTAGATGATGTCATGAGTAAGAACCTGATGATGTGAAAGGTTATGAACAAAAAGATAAAAATGTTAAAGCTCTGATGAGATAATCTTTCTTTTTCTTTTTTCTCTTTTCTCTTTTATTTGTTGTTGCATTCTTTAATTCCTTTGCAATCTTCTTTTTTATGAAGGTGATGTTGAAGATGAAGAGTAGACATGTTGCCGGGACCATCACAAAAAAGAAAAAGAGTAAGTGATTACTTTTGTCTTTCTCTAATCATGTGAAGAACAGAAATGGATGTGGGACTTGTTCAACTTGGGGATTTGAGAAAGCAATGGGGACTAAAGCAAAAGAAGATCAAAAGGGTTTGTCTTTAAGACTTTAACCTTTGATTCTTCTTCCTTTTTTTGAATTTACTGTAGATGTGGTCTTGGAGGTGATTAAAGATGTCCCAGCTTGGCCCGGCCGCCACTTGCTTGATGGTGGAGAGGACCGGAGATATTTTGCATTGAAGACAGTGATGCGAGGAGTCGTTGAGTTTGAGTGCCAGAGCCAGAGAGAGTATGATATCTGGACTCAGGGTGTGTCAAGACTCCTTTCCCTTGCCGCAGAGAAGAACAATAGACATAGAATTTGAAGAGTGTTGGGTACACTAGGGAAGAAATATGGAGAGGCAAATGGGGGGATAAAGTAGGATGAATGCCTCCATGAGAACATATGAGACTTTGGAAGATTTGTTTAGGCTGTGTAATTTTGGGCGTAAAAGGGGTAGAAATCAAAAGATATGTAATCCAATTGGGTGTCTTTAAAATTTGTGGGGTTTTTGTGCTTGTTTTTGAACTGGAAAAGAGTAAAGTGACTCGAGCCCAAAGTAAACCATAACAGTCCCATGTGATGCCAAGTATGTAGCTCCCTCACTGTTTAGGAAAGAAAAAAGGATTGTCTTGGACTGAGATGGTCAAAAAGAAGAATGAAAGGAAAAGAATCTCATCTTGGTGAAGGAATGACACGGAAGAAGATAAATACACTCTCCTGATTCCATGTGCTTTCTCTTCTATGTGGCCTGATCTTTTTGTCTTTTAATTCAACTTTGGCAGTTGGATGTAGGTGGAACTATGATTGTCTTCACTTTGTAATGTTCCACCCTATGTTATAATATGGTTTATATATGGATTTGAATCAGTTGATTAAAGTTAATTAAGTACTAAGTACTAATGATATATTTTATTGGTAAAAGCTTGAAATGGGGAGATCTAAGTTGTCGGAGGAATGTTTTTGAAATTGGGATGTACTTTTTCGAAATTGGGATGAACTTATATTTTTTTAAATCATACAACAACTCTCATTCATATAACCTAAAATTCAATAATTAGGGTAACATTTGAGTTTTTCAAATGGTTTCTTAAATTTAAAATATGTTATCGAAGTATTCTTAGTCATCTGTAAATTGATTTTTACTCAAGTTTTGGGTTTTAAATGAAATTAAATCAGATGTAGTCAAGCTCCTTACTATATTTAATTATCTTAAAATTATAATTATTTATATATATATATATATTTTAGGGAGATATTTTCTGTTTCTTTTTTAACATGTCATATTATCTTTTAAAAATTTTCCTTATGTCTATTAATTTGAAATGTGGTGTGGGACCACTAGAATTAATCTAACCTTAATAGTGGGGGAACTCAATCACATACAGAATCCTAGAAGATAGAAAACATACCAAGAAAAAATAGATCAAGAGGGGAATTGCAGATTCTGAATTTAATTTTAGGTTGTAGAAACAAATTGACATACATTTTTTCTCAATATTAATTATTGTTTCTTGAAAATCTTCACTTCTTCCCATTATTAACAAGAACAATGAAGCCACAACAGAAGAAAATGCTGCCTTTCAAAAAAAAAAACAACAGAAGAAAATGCTTCTCAACTCTCAAGAAAAATAGAATGAACAGGGGAAAACCTAAAAAACAGTTAGTAAGTAGTTCTATGTAGATGAAGCGTATCTCCTAGTCACTGCAAGAAAAGCAAGCATCAACCAAGCAGGAACAACATTCACCGGCAGCATCCGAGCAACAAGAATCATCAGCAGCAGCACTCTTGAGTAATAGTTTAATCAATGAAAGGAAAAGGTCGTCGACAAAGTCAAGGTAAAGACGGATTGAAGCGTAAATGTAGTCGTCTTTGCTACAATGCTTAATTAGCTTATTAGTGTCATATAATATGTAACCGCAGAAAATGATGGCTGCGAAGACTCCATATAACACTAGTGTTGGCTTTCCAAGAGGTAAAAATACCTGTCCATTGAACAATGTTCATGAGTCAGTTATAGTCCAAAGAGAAGAAAGAAAATTCATTGGGAGGTTGACTGATACAAACCTGGATGAGTGCATAGACCACAAGAATATTGAGAGAACTTAGTAGAAAGGGTCCAGGGAAGCTGAAATCGTGCCCCCGCATCACTGCCCAGAACGTGTAAAGTGTTAGGCTAATGGCAGCAACACTCATGAGGATTATAGCCTCAAAAATGATCTTGCCTATCAGAAGGAAAACCAAACAAGACCGAATCAATAGAACTTATTATTATGCAGGGGTCACTGGAAAATTTTTCAATAAATCAAGAAGATAAGTTGACAACATCCCTCAACAAAAGTAAAATGAAAACTAAGCAAAGAATATATATTTTCTTACACAAGAACTGTTAAGCTGCAAAGAATTTTCAGCCTATCAACAAGAAAACTAAAACTAAGAGAAATTGAAATTTACGTTGATCATACACCTTTTACGAAGGAACAAGAGAGTCCCACACCAAAAGAAAATGAAATTGTGAACAGCCCAAGAAGAAGGAAGTTCCAAGGATGAGCAATGTCAAACACAAACGGGAGGATCATAACTGCACAAATCATAAAAATAAACCCATTTATCATCCACAATCTCACATTAACATCAACGCATACCACATAATCTGCCAAAACAAGGAATCATATAGAAATGGAATACAAGAGAAAGATTTATACTAATGCGTCAAAGCCTTCGATGAAACAACAAAATAATTCCCACTAATCTATCACTAATTCACAGAGAATCCATCAGCCATTCCATGGTCGACCCCCAGAAAATTGATATTCAATGGAACAGAGAAAGGCGGAATCCAGAGCAGATTATCACAAGTGAAAACCATGCATCCCATGGAGAACAGAACCCTACCAACAGGAAATAAGATTCCAAGAAAACTTACATACAAACATAAGAACGACAGAGAGTATGTAAATGGCGACGCCTGGTCTTGTGTGTAGTACGAACTTTGGGATTTCACGGAAGTGAGCGACGCTGAATGCAACGGCGGCGGTGAGCAGCCACTGTATGGAGATGATACAGTAAACCTTCCGAATAAAGACCCAAACCAGGTCTACGACCTCTTCTCTCACGGGATGCAGAGATTCACCGCTTTCAATATCGCTTTTTCCCATTGCAACACAACAATCACAAAGAAAGAGACAAAGATGTGATTTTTCTTTCCAATGAATTATGGGTTTTAAAAGTTCAGAGCTGTTTGGCGGTAAAGAAAGTTGCGGATCAAATCTTCAACGGGTTTGTTAGCAGAAACTAAGTAGTAGGGTTTTTGCTAACAAAATAGACGTAGTATTAAACTCGATCTGTAATCCGAGTTTCAACTACTATCATAATTTTTTTTATTTAGGTTAATTGTTTAATAATATAGAGGTTTGAAATTTTTTATCTTAATTTTAAATCAAAATTTTTAAAATCAATGAATATTAATTTAGTCAAATTCTTGTTGATAACTACAATCATAATGTAACATATTATTAATTAAATGATGCATATAATATTATAAGATATATAACATTATAAAACTTATAAGGTAATCAAACATTATAATTATATTATTTTTAGATAAAAATAAAAAAATTAATAATACATGAATGATAATTTTAATTATTTTATAAAACAAAATTTAATAAGAATTACTTGTCCATATCTGTAATTTTTTTTTATCTTAATTGCACAATGAAAATCAACTATTTTTCATTCTTTATTTTAATCTACTCATATATATTATGTGATTTAAACTTTTATTTCAATCTACTTACATGTTATACGACTCAAATTATGTACTTCTTATTTCCAACAAAAGAAAATGAATCCTCTGAAGTCTAGCATTCGCGCCATTTGGCTCTCTTGAGTCTTCTCCCTTCTTTGCTCTTGCTCTTTTTCTCCTCTTTCACCCAGCCGTGCCGCCTCACACCTTGGCCCACCAGCGACCAGCGATTTGGGTTTCGTTTTCTGCGTTGCTTGGTGAGATTCTTTTCGATTTGGGTTCCTCTTCGGATCTCTCCCATCTTCCGTGATAGAAAAACTCAAACTAGGTGCAAAGTCTTAGTTTTGGGTTCAAGAACTCAATTTGATCTTGATTTTCATGCATCTTCAGTATCAGTGCTAGAGATGTTAGATTCTTTGATTGCATTGTGTTTTAGGTTTTCACGCTCTCCAATTCTCTGTTTCTCCTAGTCTCCAGGGAAATTGTTCGGAAAAGCTTCGCAATTCGTTTCACATCAATTTGCTTCTTTTTACTAGTGAAACAAAATAATGCTACAGGGAGATTAATGGGTTGGGGACAGATTCTGGTGGTGACGTAAAAAATCTTAATTGGATTTGGAATTGGTTCTCAGGAGTTCAGGATTGACTATTGCAAATTTCTCAGTGAACCTCGTTGCCATATTTTGGGCAGAATCCAGCTCAAAGTTGCATCTGCAGTTTGTACAAGCAACAAAGTCAGACTTAG